GAAAATTTCCAAACAATATTTGTTTGGCCCAATTGTAGGGAATCGGTTTATATTTATATATAGTTCCCATATATATGTTCAACCCATTTCGGGTTAATTGTGCACCAAATGACCAATATGTGTCGAAATGACCTGATCCAACCAAATTCAGCCTAGAAACAAGTGCATCAAATTTGGAGAAAATCGATTCAGATATAGCTTTATTCGGTTTGGTTTTAAGTCCCTCACATGCGTAATAGCATTTCACAAGAATGATATTTGGTACCAGATAACTTATGAGGCTCAAAAATATTTTTGTCAAATTTTATCGAGATCGGATCAGATTTGGATATTGCTACCATATCAAATATCAGGTTTATTGTGCTCTTAATGGCTAATATCAGCGCAAATGAACTTTGGAACTTCCGACGGAATTCAGCCTCAAAGCAAGTACCTCAAATTTGGTGAAAATCGGTTCAGATATAGCTATAGCTCCCACATATATGTTTCATCCGATGTGGGGTTTTAAGTCGCTCACATGCGTAATATACACTCCACAACAATGATATTTGATACCGAACACCAATTTTTATCGAGTTCGATTTAAATTTTTATATACCTCGATATACGTCTTCATCCGATTTTACTGTTATTGCTCACCATATAGATATCCTAATATTCAACCGAATTATACCATTTGTTGAAACTCGGTTCGCTACAATACATATTTTTATACCCTCCACAATAGTATGGAAGGTATATTAAGTTTGTCATTGCGTTTGTAACACTTCGAAATATACATTTTAGACCCCACATTCTTGATCAGCATAAAATTCATTGTCGATTTAGCAATGTTCGTTCATCTGTCCGTCTGTGGAAATCAGTCTAGCTTCCGAAAGAAATGAAGTAAGTTGATAAAAATTTACTCAGATGTGTATTATGTCTGCAGATCTGTTGGTATTGAAAATGGGCCATGTAGGTCCACGTCTTCGTATAGCCCCCATGTAACGGCACCCCCGATATTCGGTATTTTGATGATTTAAGAGATATAATTTACCGGAACTCTTTCACATTTGGTACTTGAAGTTCGTAACGAATACTACAGCCTATGAAAATTGTCTGTGCAGGTCCACGTCTTCGTATAGCCCCCATATAACGGCACCGCCCGATATTGGGTATTTTGATGACCTTAGCGACATTATTTACCGGAATTATTTCAAATATTGTATTTGAAGTTCGTAATGGATACTACAACCTATGGCAGAAAATTGTCTGTGCAGGTCCACATTTTATAACCCCCATGGTACCTCCCTATATACGGTACTTTGACTATTTTAGCTACTTTATGAACCGATTTTTTTTCAAGTTTCGCATTTGAATATTGTAATAGCTTATGACAAAAGTTGCATATGCAGGTCCACGTCGTCGTATAGACTACTTTCGGTTACAGAATTTGTAACGGATTTTTATTTTTTTATCGAAGTCATATCATGCAATATACGACAATGTTATTTGGTACTAGAGGTACAAAAGCATCCACCAAAGGTACAAAAGCCTACACATCTCCACAACCATCTCAATATATCAATCCCTTCCTTTGATCCTCTATCTATGTCTATCCTTTGATCCAAACCCAATTTAGTGACAGTTAGTACTTTTTAAACAATTATATTGCTGATATCCAGAACCATCCGATCACAGACACACAACGTGATATCAGCATCAAATTCTAAAATTTCAGCTCCACTTCTTTACCCAATAACAAATTCAGTACTATTTAGTACTTTTCGAACAATTATAGTACGAATGTGCAAAACCATCACCAAATCTCAACAGCAGATTCCAACAAAGACCTTAATATCAAATTTCGGAATTACAGCATTATCCCTTCGTTCATACAAAGGACGCTTTTCAATATGTAATCTAAATGTCAAATTTCAGAATTAAATCTCTATCCCTTCATCCAATACCAAATATTACCATTCAATACATTTTGGACAATAATAGTACACATTTTCGAAACCACCTCTACATGTCCAAGCTACCCCTGAACAGCATATGTTCCAAATAATACCAAATTCTATTAAATATGGTACTATTTAGTAATATAGTGAACTTGTAGTATACATTTCCAAAACCACAAAATTTTTATTACATGTTAGAACTTTTAGTACAAATTTCCAAAACCCAGCCTTATCACACCTATGAAATTCTAGGTGAAATTTCTAGGTTCAGTCGTGGACGTTGATACTCTGCCAGTCATAGAGATTAATGATTGTCGCCTTGTATTTAGAAGTGTTATGTTTTTGTTTTTTTTGTTTGTTTTCTACAAATATATAACACCTATTTGCAATGATTGGCCCATATAATATTTTGGCTCTTCAAATTTGTAGATAAATATTGAAACCATAAACTTACCTTGAACGCCCAGCATTGTTTTCATTGATCAATTCACACCTAGTCATAATAAATATGAAATAATACAATCATAATGATGATGATCGGTCGCAGTCACCAATTAGCATCATCTGCTTCAATACCTACCACCCGTATCGAAACAAAACCAAAATAATGAAACGTGTTTTGTTTCGGTGCGATTTTTGATTTTGACAATATGTGCATGAAATCAAAAAAATGTTAGAATGACACACAAAAACAATTTCGAAAAAAAAAAAAAAACAAAAGGAATTTTTTTTTTGTTGACAAAAGGCGGAAGATGTATTAATTAGCATTTGTTGCAAATGATAGAGAGAGAGAAGAATGGAAACCACAAAAACAAAAAGGCAAAATCAAACTTCTGGGTGATCTTGAATTTGGAAATAAAAATATAGATATGTAGGTATTTATTTTTAAGAATACTGTGGGTAGAAAAAATGGAGATTTTCAGTAAGATGATAAGGCAAAATAGGTTTTTTGTTTTGAAAAAAAAAAAAAAAAAAAAAAAAAAAAAACAAAAATGCTGGTGGAAGAGATTTTTGTTAATAAATTTCGATTTGATTTCCGCATCGCATTCGAAATTCATTTTCGTTTTGCATGCAATATTGAATGCAAAATTTGTATATTTTTATTTCCAATACAGATAAAAAATTTGCAAAATCATAAAATCAATTGGAAATTGCTTAGTCTTTTAGAAATCACATGGCTTAACCCTTGCTAGGCAATGCTTACAGGGTGAGATTAAAAAACGCCATAATTTTTACATTTATTTTTTAAATTTTTTGAATGAAAGCAAAAAATGTTGGAAATAGCATCAAATTTTAGAATAAGTTCAGATTTGTTCGAATTGGTCACCTTTGGCACGAATTATGGCCTTCAAAGGGCCAATGAAACTGTCACACGTTGCCCCAATATTGCTCTGCGGTATTTTGCCCCATTCCCGGCGAAAGGCTTGCTTGAGGCGTACGATACTTTGGTATTTTTCAGTGCCAATCTTGCTTTCCAAAATACTTCAGACACAATAGTCCAACGGATTGGTATCCGGAGATTTTGAGGGCCATTGTGCGCTTGAAATGAAACATGGAACCTCATTTTGTAACCATTCTTGGGTGGCGTGGGTGCTGAGTTCTGTTGGAATGTCCAAGGTCTGCGGCCAAAATGTTTGCGTGCCCAAGGCTTTAATACACCCTTCAGAATATTTTCGCGATAATATTCGGCATTTATTCTGATGTCACGGTCGATTATAAGGAGCGGAGAGCGGCCATCGGTTGTTATGGCGGCCCACACCATCACCATGGCCGGCCCTTGAGTTCTGCTGGCCAACCGAGTGTGCACATTTTCAGCCGACCTCTTTGGCAGGCAAGCAGGATCATTTTGTTGTTTACAAACTGCTGGACAACGAATTTTTTCTCATCGGCTCATCGGAGAAAACCAAATTCGGCAGTTCACCACTTTCGGCCAAGCGAAGCAACTCTTTAGCTCTTTTGAGTCTATTTTCTTTCTGTTGCGGTGTAAGTTCTTGCACTTTTTGGAATTTCAATGGCTCTACCCCGAGCTTGTTTTTCAATATTTACCGAATGGAATACAGGGTTGCCCATATTCGACGGACCCGTGTTTTTTTTTCGGCCATTTCGATGACTCTTTGGGCCAATTCCAAACGACGAGGCTTGTCCGCAGGGAACAAATGCAAATCAATGCGAATAATCCGTTGTAAAGTGGACCGAGCCATTCTTCTTCTGTTGAATGTAAATTTCAACTATTTCAGAGCGCTCGCGTGGGGTGTATTGGTTCATGGTAAAAATCTGCTTAGACTGACGCTTTAAACGCGGTATGTCATTAAGCGATGTGACATCTCTGTCAAAAGTTATGGCGTTGCCAGATGGGTCCGTCGAATATGGGCAACCCTGTTTTGTGATATGTTCAGGTCATGAGCCATTTTTCGGCCACTGCGACGTGGGTTTCGATCAAGTCGCTTCTTTACTTTTCGAACCGTTTCTGCGGATGTTGCTGTTTTTTTTCGTCTACTTCCTTGACGTCGGGCTACGCTACCAGCATCACGGTACGAGACACAAAAGATTTATTCACATTTAAATGCTGACGATAGCCACTTGTGGTTTTCCAGCCGAATATCACGCTTGAATTCCATCACGAATAACTTTTTTTTCTGGAAAGTTCTCACCAAATTCTTTCACTGGAATGTTTTTAACAGCTGTCGGTGGAGTGCCTTAGAAATGACAGCAGTCTGAAGTTGGTTGCAGTTTTTTCATCTCACCCTGTACAATTTTATCATGAGATTTGGTTTTGATTAGTTGAAAACGAAAATCCCAATTTTTTTTTTGGAATCCGAAGCAAAAAATTTCTCTTCCTTTTCGCTCCAGTAGCTGAATTTTCTCGACGTTTTTAAAATTTTAAAAAAAAATATTTCGAATTTTATATACAATATTTTTAATTATTAATTTTTATTTTGTCTTACAAAATTTCATAAATAATTCCAAATCACCTTTCTTCGTCACTAAAACTATTCAACAAAAAATCATAAAAAAAAAACAAAAACAAACTATTCTAAGAAATAGTTCAGATCGCACCTATCTACAAAACTGGCAAATATTGGTTACTGACAGTGGGCCTGACAATATTATTGTTGATTTCATTGGCAAAGAGATTAAAGCCAAATCCTCGGGGACGAGGAGTGGACGAGGTAGTAGTAGAGCCTCCTCGGGGGGTCACATACCTATATCCGTTAGTCGTTCCATGATTATTGAAATTGTTGCTCTGAATTTGGGTGGAAGATGTTACAACTTTGTCTTCAGAGGATTTAATAACTTTGTTGTCACATTCCGGCTTGGCCGAGTCCGAGGTATATTTACAGGTTGTTTCTTTGCGTTCCACTAAAATTGGCGACTCAGTACCGTCTGAGGAGATTTTGTGGGTTGTTGTGGTGGTGGTTGTGGTGTAGGTGTAACCGCCTACTTCATTGCTGCTGATGTCGTTGTTGGCTCCAGCACCATTGCCGCCTTGGGTTGAGGTTTGATATGACGAAGTGGAGTATTTGTAACCGGAACCAGAGTTTCCTGCCTGGCCACCACCTAGGCCATTATTGCCGGATGAGGTGGTTTTACTGGTGGTAGTTTTGCTATAACTATAACCGCTGTTGCCACCTAGTGATGAGGAAGTTTGTTTATTGGCATCATCCTTATTGCCCGAGCTCTGAGTTATGCTATAGCTATAGCCACTACCCGTCTTTCCAGCACCAGATGAAGAACCCTGATTGCCAGCAAGACCACCATTACCAGTTGTGGAAGTTTGGGTTGTAGTTTTGCTGTAGCTATAACCGGAATTTCCACCTGAGGTGGTAACTTTTCCATTATCCTTGCCGCCCGAGTAGCTATAACCCGAGCCAGAGTTGCCACCCAATGAAGAATCATCCTGATTACCTTCATCGCCTACAGAAGACTGAGTTGTGGTAAAGCTGTATTCAGAATTTCCCAAAGATGTGGAGGTTCCTTTGCCGCTATCCAGTCCTCCTGAGGTTTGTGTCGTGGTATAGCTATAACCTGAGCCGGAGTTTCCACCGGATGCTGTGGATCCTTGACTACCACCTAAGTCTGCATTTCCTGTTGTTTTGGTTGTAGTTGTGGTGGTGTAACTATAGCCGGAATTCCCTCCAGATGTGCTGCCTTGATTCGTCTCCTTTTCTTCGGAAATTTCCAAAACGGAATAGCCATGACCGGAACCTGAATTTCCAGCAGAGGAAGAAACTTGATTACCTCCTAAATCGGCATTTCCTGTGTTCGAAGTTTTGGTTGTGGTGGTGGTGTAACTATATCCAGAATCTCCTCCAGATGTGGTACCCTGGTCGCCGCTTTTTTCTTCAGAAACTTCAAGGACGGCATATCCAGATCCTGAATTTCCAGCGGAGGAGGAACCTTGATTACCACCAAAATCGGCACTTCCGGTGGTCGAAGTTTTGGTGGTAGTGGTGGTGTAACTATAGCCCGAATTTCCTACAGATGTGGTATCCTTATCGGCTTCCTTATCCTGAGAGATCTCCGTGACGGTATATCCTGAATTTCCACCCGAAGTTTTTCCTTGACTACCACCTAAATCGGCATTTCCCGAGGTAGAAGTTTTAGTGGTAGTGGTGGTATAACTATATCCCGAATTTCCTCCAGTTGTGGTCCCCTTAACGCCGTCCTTATCTTCCGAGGTTTCCGTTGTAGTATAACTATATCCAGAGCCGGAATTTCCACCTTGATTACCTCCTGCACCGGCATTATCTGTGGTGGAAGTTTGGGTAGTTGTGGTGTAACTATAGCCGGAATTTCCCCCAGCTGTGGTCCCCTTATCCGAATCCGTTCCTGTCGAGCTTTGAGTAGTGGTGTAACTATATCCAGAGTCGGAATTTCCGCCAGAAGAGGTACCTTGATTACCTCCTAAGCCAGAAGTTCCCGTAGTGGAAGTTTGGGTAGTTGTGGTGTAACTATATCCTGAATTGCCACCAGAGGTAGTTGCCTTACCATCGTCCTTTTCTCCAGAGCTTTGAGTGGTAGTGGTATAGCTATAGCCTGAGTCGGAATTTCCAGCTGATGAAGATTCTTGGGTGCCATCTACTCCAGCTTTATCAGTTGGCAAGGATGTGGTTGTTGTTGTAGTGGTAGTTGTTGTTTCCTTGTTGCCGGGGAAAACAATTCCACTGCCAACAGAACCCCCACTGGTTGTTGTGGTAGTTCCCGAAGTAGTACTGGTAGTTGTTGTTACAGGACCATTACCTTGATTATCCTCGGAATCTTTGTCTTTATCATCATCGTCATCAATGGTGGAAGCGGCAATAGCAGCATTTAACAGAGCACTTCCAGTTTCTGGTCTCCTGGTCGTTATCTCAGGAGCTTCTGTGGTACTATAGGAATAACCTGAACTAGAACTCCCACTCTTTTCAGTCGTGGTAGCAAAAAGGTCCTCTCCTAAATCTGCAGTGCCTGAGGTGGTGGTAACTTCGGGGGCCTTTGTTGTGGTAGTGGCTGTTGTAGTCGGCGCTTTTGTAGTAGCCTTGGTGGTTGTTGTGGTAGTCGTTGTTGTTGTAGCTGTACCTGTTGCTCCACCAATAAATCCACCCAATATCCCACCGCCACTGCTTGAACCTCCACCACCCAATTTACTGCTAACAACTCCCGTTGCCAAATTGGTAATCAATCCTAGGCCTCCACCGGAACTACTCGATGAGCTGGAGGAACCAGAACCTAATTTACTGCTTATCAGACTTGTGGCTATACCAGTTTTGGCACTTAAACCAAAACCGCCACTGGAACTGCTACTACTGTATGAGCTGGAGCTCGAACTGGAACTTCCACCACCACCCAATTTACTGCTAATAACACCAGTTGCCAAATTAGTAATTAAACCCAAACCACCACCGGAACTACCCGATGAGCTGTGGGAACTGGAGGAACCTGAACCTAATTTACTGCTTATCAGACTTGTGGCTAAACCAGTTTTGGCACCCAGACCGAAACCACCACTAGAACTGGAACTGCTACTGCTGTATGAACTGGAGCTGGAACTATGGCTACTGCCACCTCCTCCTAATTTTGTACTCAAAAGATTGGTGAATAGACTTGTCTTTGCTCCCAAACCACCAAAACCACCGCTGGAACCTGAACTGGCAGAGCTCAAGCCCGTGGTCAAAGCCTGTGTAATGGCTTGAATTTTAGTGGTAATAATACTGGTGAAAATACCCTGTGCTGCTGAGGTTAGCCGGCCACCAAATGTAGAATTGCCTGCATTGTTGAAGCCTAAAAGAAAGAAGGGAAAATTATTAATTTGGATTTGAATTCAGCATAAAACCGCAATATATTTTGCAAAAATAATTTCAGTCGATATGTTGAACGTTTGTGTTATAATGATAAATAACTGGACAGTTTCAGATATAATTTTGGCAAAACTGCTTTAATGTAGGTTTTTATGGATCTATATTGTCAATTTGCTACCAGAGTTTTATGGTAAGCAATCATGAAAGTTGGCTCGTGAGCTGAATATCGCAATATTCCATTCGACAAATATTGAAAAATGAGCTCGGGTTAAAGCCATTGAAATTCCAAAAAGTGCAAGAACTTACACCGCAACAGAAAGAAAATAGACTCAAAAGAGCCGAATATTATCAAGAAAGTATTCTGGAGGGTGTATTAAAGCCTTGGGCACGCAAACATTTTGGCCGCATACCTTGGACATTCCAACAGGACTCAGCACCATCGCACTCAGCACCCACGCCACCCAAGAATGGTTACGAAATGAGGTTCCTCGCTTCATTTCCAGCGCACAATGGCCACCAAAATCTCCGGATACCAATCCGTTGGACTATTGTGTCTGGAGTATTTTGGAAAGCAAGTTTGGCACTAAAAAATACCAAAGTGTCAATCACCTCAAGCAAGCGCTTCGCCGGGAATGGGCCAAAATACCGCAGAGCAACATTCGGGCAGCGTGTGACGGTTTCATTGGCCGTTTAAATTCGTGCCATAGGTGACCAATTCGAACAAAACTAAATTTATTCTAAAATTTGATGGTATTTCCGATTTTTTTTGCTTTCATTCAATAACATTTAAAAAAATTTAAAATTATGGCGTTTGACTTTGTGGCAGTTTTTATACCCTTCACCATTCTATGGAGGGTATATTAACTTTGTCATTCCGTTTGTAACTCCTCGAAATATTCATACTAGACCCTACAAAGTATATACATTCTGGGTCAGCGTAAATTTTTAAGATGATCTAGCGATGTCCGTCTCCCTGCCTGTCCGTCTGTCGTTGAGATAGAAGGCTAAAATTTTGCTTATATGCATACTTTACCATTAGGCAGGTTAAGTTAATAGGCCATGTCGGTCCACATTTACGTATAGACCCCATATAACGGTACCTCCCCATATTCGGTATTTTCATGATTTTAGCGGCATAATTTACCGATTTTTTTTTTTAATTTCGTATTTGAAGTTCGTAATGGGTACTAAAGTATATGACAAAAATTTTTGTATGCAGGTCCAAGTCATCGTATAGCCCCACTCAACGGTACCTCCCGATCACCGGAATCGTTTCAAATTTCATTCTGGAAAATTATATTGGGTACTACAATTTATGGCAAAAAATGTTGTATGCAGGCCCACATTTTTGTATAGCCCCCATATAACGGTACTTCCTATTTTATTTTTGTGATTTTGGCGACATTATATACCGCAATTATTTGAAATTTCGTATTTGAAGTTTCGTAATGGGCACTACAGCCTATGACAAAAAATTTCGTATGCAGGTTTACGTCTTCGTATATGATAATTCTATTACGTTTTAGGTCCATAAATTGTCACAAAAGGCAAAGTTGGTCCCCAAATTTCAAAAAATTCTAATATTTTTGCAACAGTACGTTTATAACTTTTATAGGTTTATTGCTTCCAGTATCTCTCCCACCAAAGGATAAATTTTGTCAAATCCTGAATGAAATAAACTTTGAACATTAAATTTTTACAAAATTTAGGTTAGGTCTTTTGAATGTTAAAAGCACAAGCCTATTTCTTCAATTCACAGAAGTCATCTTTGATTTTGTATAATATAACGGAAGTGGGATTTTATTTTAAATAATTAGCTATAGGTCTTCCTAACCAACATCATAAATATCTACAGTTTTAGGAGCATCTTTGCCAAAAAATTCTGTCTGTTTGAACCACTTTTTCAAGGACCTGGTGAAGAATATTGAAGATTTTCTGGTCAAATTCGTGTTTTTTTTAAGGAGACTCATGGTTTTAATACCCTCAGCTAAAGAGGGTATATTTCATTTGATTCGACCAAAAAGTGCCTCATCGAAATAACGGATTTTGACACTTAGTCTCTCTCGATCAAATCCGTTTCTGGGCATTTGAAGTCCGTCCGTCCGCCTGTCTGGCTAGTGCGCACAATGACTCTAGAAGTTATAATTCGATTTGGTTCAAAATTTGTGCATCGTTATATTATTGTCAAACTTAGATCGAGTTCGGAGATGAACTATATTGGTCTACTCCTTCTGGTACCTTCCTCACAAAAGGTCGAAATTTTCAAAAATAAATATTTCACTACATCGAAAGAAAAAGGATAATCCGATTTTGCTCAACTTTTCAAATTCTAATATTTGCATCAGTGCGAAATGGACAATATCGTTTCACTCCATCAAAATTTGGAATAATTTTAATTCTTATAAAATGTGATGTAAGAGTCCGATTGTCTTCAAATTACAAAAATCACAAAATGGTAGCTCCTCCCCAAAGAGTCTAAATTTTGAATATCCATGGAGCTCGAAAAAAGCGAAATTAACATCCGATTCCTTGGCATATCTGTTATAATGATGGTACAGATTAAATCATTTCTTACGATACCTCCCCCACATAGGGTTTAAGATTTTGAAAAACAAAACGCTCAAGGAAAGTAGATATCGTAATTATACCGTCAGTCATAAGACTACAGAATTTAATACCAAAAAAAAAAAAAAAAAAAACTATGCCCCATCAAATTGCAGGTATATACACTTAGAAAAGAGAAGAAGAGAAGTCTGTCGAAAATGGGCAAAATCAGTCTTCTTCTTTTGGTGCATCCTTAACAAGATTCTAAGAAGTATCTATTACAGGCTAAAAAGTATCATTCAGTTTGTTGTTGGACACATATTTATATATATCCTGAGTCTATTGCAATTTATAGAACAATTTTCTACAAATCCAAGGATTTCACAATTTTAATTGAAGAGTAACGGAGACAATGAAGGAGATCTAGAAGCCCCACAAGGATTTATTTTCAAAATCCAAGGCCTGTTAAAAATCTTGTAAAACTCGTGATTTTTACCAAAATTCACTATATTTTGATATTTTATATTTTGTGCAGAATAAACATAAAATCGAGCATGGTAAAATTTGGTCGTTATCAAAGTGTTACCGATCTACTGCTTTCCAATTCTTGTCGACAAAAATTCATTCAACATGGCTCCATATCGCTAAGGCTAAGAGGCGCGATCATAAATTTCATATTCATCTCAGGTTTCTGGCAAATAGAGATATATTTACATATAGCAAGTTGTAAGGAATCGCTGACTTGTTTCCCAAGTTATTACAGATAAAAATATTGAAAATTATGACCCTCTGTGAGTGAGGTATTGTATTAGATATATATTGTATTAGCAAAAATGTTTTATGTGTGAAATTTGAAGAGCGCTGAATGCTTATTTCGCTTTCCGATCTCTACCATTTTTATAACAGATCTTGTGTTAATGGAAATATTAAAATATACCAAGTCTAGAATGGTATCGGATGTTAATTTCGTTTTTATAAGCCCAATGGATATTCAAAATTTCGACCTTTTGTGGGGGAGTTACCGGAAGGGTTGATAAAAATATTGGGATGTGTGAAATTTTAAGACACTCGGATTCTTACATCAAATTTTTTAAGAGTTATGATTATTCAAAATTTTTACCCTTTGTGGAGGAGGAACTTGATGGAGTGGACCGATATTATCCATTTTGCACCTGACCTAGAAGTGATGCAGATATTAGGATTTGCAAAGTTGGAAAGAAATCGGATTATTGCTTCTTTTCTGTGCAGAAAATATTTTTTTTTGAAAATTTCGACCTTTTGTGGGAAGGTAACAGAAGGAGTGGACCGATGTATTCCATCTTGGCACCAGACCTTGGGTTTATCAAATTTTTGGGAAGTGTGAACTTTGAAGACAATCGGGTTGAAATTATTCAAAATTACGACCCTTTGTGGGGAGGTACCTGGTGGAGAGGACCGATATTATCCATTTTCGCACCTGACCTAGAACTGATGAAAATATTAGGATTCTGTGCAATAAATTATTTTCTTTGAAATTTTTGACATATTGTGTGGGAGGTACCAGAAGGAGTGAACCGATAGTGTCTATCTTCGAAGTCGATCTAACTTTGACAATAATATTACGATGTACCAACTTTGGATCAAATCGGTTATCGTGCGCATCAGCCAGACAGACAGACGGACGGACATCGCTAGATCGACTCCAAATGTCCTGAAATCGATTTGGTTCAAAGAGGCCTAGGGTCTAAAACCATTATTCGACTTGGCATGTTTTGGCCGTATCGAATGATATATAACCTCTGTAGCCATATGACAGAGGATATAATAAATGACCGACTTAACGGCCCTGGTTAAAATGTTTTTTACAATTTTTAAACATACACGGTCAAACTTAAAGTCCTTTTTACTTGAATTACATGTCTTTGTCACATACAGGACATAGCAACTGGATCCGAACTTTATACTTTTTCTCACTTATATTTTTTTGTCATATTCCTTGAAGAGATTGATTTAAAAGTGGGTTTTTTATTTGGATTTTTTGGTCCGACCGACTATTTTGTGTTAAAGAAGAATACCTTCATGCAACCTTCAATGTTTTTATCAAGGCCATAATAATAAATTGTAACATTGTAATTTTCCACTCTTTGTAATAACTTTACAATCACTTCTTAAACAAAATATATTCATTTTAATGATCATTAATGATGGATGGATTATCCCATATCGGCAATTATTGGTATGCTCAATTAAATTGCGGTAACATTAAAAAAACAATACACTTGAAACATCAGTTCGGTCATCCATTCTTACCTATGAACTTTTGGATGATAAATGGTTTAGCGTCGATTGGCTGATATTTTAAACCGATACAGACGACGACCAAAGCCGTGCCGAAAATGGAAAATATACGCATTTTATGACCTTGTCGTTTTATTTTTCCTCTTCCTATTCTAGTGAGATTTTTTTTTAATAGTCCAGCGTTTCTTTTTAACCGTTTGGAATATTCTTTCGTATCGATACAATGTTATTATCCGGCGTTTTGTTTAAGACTGATTCGACGGATGTTTCTATGACATTCTTTAAGCAAAAACCGAACGCAGACAGAGGAAAAGATATTTCATCTCATTCATCGACGGCTACTGCAGAAACTATTTCGGATGTCAGCGACAAATTTGTTGTGGTTTGCGATGGTGATGGTCTTGTCTTCTTCAACTTCCAAAAAAATTAACAAGTCTATTGTTGTTGTTGTTGTTGCTCTATTGCTTTGAATGTCTTTAACGCCCAGCTATGCGTAACAATGTGTAGAGCGAGAGGGTTGGGCGATACGAGCGGAGGTTGAATGACTTGGCAATAACATCAATGGCTTAGATGGGTTTAAAGAACAGTCAACTGTCTCTAGGCATGCTCTTCATACAGCAGCAACAACGAAACCTAAAGATTTCCATAATGATGTCTCGAATTGCTATCGGTCAATTTGATTGTTTTTTTTTTCACATGAGAATTTAAGTTTACCAGAGCTTGTGTCTCATCATCGGATAAGACGTTGAAGAAGGTAGTTCAGGCAGCGCACATTTGAAGTTCATAGATGCCCTGGGCTGGAGTTAAACATGTGTGTGTGACTTGGGAGTGCATTTCATTGAATGATTTATGATTTGTTATATTAATTGATGTGAATGTTAAATTAATAACGCTTTAAATTTCAGAGCAGGTTTTAAACATAAGTTTAAATATGTATGGTCATTGTAGTGTTTTTCCAATAGCAATAAACAATAAATCTAAGGGTGTGAATTTCTAGTTTTTTTTTCTCAATGATTTTATATCATTTGATAACTGTATAAATGTGTTTCATCAAAATAACGCTCTTAGTATAATAAATTCAATGTAGCGATGTAATTTGTCTGTCTGGTTGGTAAAAAACAATTGGTCACATACGAAAAAAAAATAATAGCAAAATGTTAACCTTTTAGTGACATCAACATTAAAATTTCACAATTTCACCTGTATCCCTTCACGGAATACCAAATTTAGTAACATTTTTTAGTATAATTTCAGTACTCATTTCCAAAACCGTTTCATATATCAATCCTAGGCACCAACCATTACCATTTACTACATTTCGAACAGTTACAGTACGCATTTCCAAAACCACCAACAGATACCTCAATATCAAATTTAAGAATTCCAGCCCTATCCTAAGACTCAATTCCATATTTATTACCATATGATTTGAAGAGCTGTACAACGCATGTCAAAAAACCATCTCCTACTCTCCACCCTAGGCACCACACTCGATACCTAATCACAGAATTTCACATCTATTTCAACACCCAACGGCATATTTTGTGGCACTTGTCGTACGTTTATAATACGTATTTCCAAATTTCAGGATTCCAGTCACTACTAAATTTTGTAATATTTAGTACTTATCGTATTATTACAGTATCTATTTAAAGTACCACCTCCAGATCTCAATCCCAGATACCAACAGAGACCTCAATATCATATTTCGCCATTATAAATTTAGTACTATTTACTACCTTTCGTACAATTATAGTACACATTTGCAAAACCACATCCATATCTTAGTCATAGGCACTGTCACTGGTAGTACATTTGTATCAGGATTACTGCTCTATGCCTTCAATCAATATCAAATTTTGTACTATTTAGTACATTTCGTACAATTATAGTACGCATTTCCAAAACCAACTTCATATCTCAGACCGAGATTCCAACAGAGACTTCAATATCAATTTTCAGTATTCCAGCTCAATCCCTCCACCCAATACCAAATTTAGAACTTATCGAACAATGATAGTACACATGTTCAAAACCACCTCAAAATTTCAGAATTTGGGCTCTCTTCATGTGCCCAATACCAAATATAGTACTATAGTAAATTCCAATCCCCATATCTCAATTTCAGATACCAACTGAGACCTCAATATCAAATTTGAGGATTCCAGCCCTATCCCTTAAACCAATACCAAATTTAGTACCATACCATCAGTATTCTAAATATGAAATTTCAGAATTGAATTTCTATGCCTCCACCCAATACTACATAAAGTACCATTTATTACTTTTCGTGCAATTATAGTACGCATTTCCGAACCACCTCAATTTGTCCAGGTTACACATGAACAGCTACCCCACTACTAAATTTCAGATTTCAAGCACTTTATGTTCCGCCAATGACAAATTATACCAAATGTAGTACTATTTAAGACTTTTAGTGCACTTGTAGTACACGTTTCCAAAACCACCTCCATATCTCAATCCCAGAAACCACTTTAGACCTCAATTTTGGGATTCCAGCTCTATTCCTTTCCTCGATAGTAAATTTAGTTACATTTAGTACTCTTCGAATAATTTTAGTACTCATTAACAAAGCTACATCCATATCTCAACTACAGACACCAACAGTGATATCTATGTCAAATTTCAGGATTTCAGCCCTATCCCTTTATCCCTACTTTTCGTTTAAATATAATATACCATGCCAAATCCACCTTTTTATCACAAACCTTCCACTACAATACAATATTTCAAAGTCCTAGCTTCATCCATTCACCATGAACCAAACTGATCCAATTTTAGTACCATTTAGGACAGTTTACGCACTTTGTACACATTTCCAAAATCTATTTAATGTCTCAAACTTACTTTCCAACCTTGATTCTTTTACTAAATTCTAAGTTTTTAACTCTATCCATTCAAAAAATATCGAAAGGTACTATTTTAGAATTTTCTTAAACTTAGAGTTTGATTTTCCGAAAAACTTTTGGTACATCTATAAAACACGCCTTCGTTACAAATTTCAGAACTATAGCTCAATCAATTATGTTAGCTCAATACATAGTATTTATTATATACTCAGGCCACAGAGGGTATATATCATTTGATATCCAAAAACATACCTAATCGAAATAACGGATTTAGACCCTAGGTCTCTTTGGACCAAATCGGTTTCAGGACATTTGGAGTTGATCTAGCGATGTATTTTCGTGCGTCCGACTACCTGTCTGGCTTGTGCGCACGAAAACTCTCGAAGGGAGTATCGGATTTGTTCCAAACCTGGTACATCGTAATAATATATTTATCAAATTTAGATCAGCGTGTGACGGTTTCATTGGCCGTTTGAAGGGCATAATTCATGCCAAAAGTGACCAATTCGAACAAATCTAAACGTATTCTAAAATTTGATGTTATTTCCAATATTTTTTGATTTTATTTAATAAAATATAAAAAAAATGTAAAAATTATGGCATTTGACTTTGTTGCAGTTTTTTTTTATCTCATCCTATATCTGCAAAAACCTTCTGGTACCTCACCCACAACGGGTCACAATTTTCAATACTTTTGTCTCCCATAACTTTTTTAGTTCGACTGATGTGAATATGGAATGATTGAAAGATAAAATAAGGTTCGTAGAAAACCATATACATTTCTAATAAAAATAATGGATTCTTTGAGTTATGCCATGAAACGTTGAATATACCTACTTCGGCCCCGCCTAAAATATAACATTAGCCTCCTTTTTTGTAATTGATTTTGTTTCTTTCTTTTGTTTGGTGACACCAATATTTCATGAAAGTACAAACACTGCCAACAAATTTTAAACAAATTAATATTTCTATTGTATCACCCATACAACGATCAATGACTGCATGCATCAGAAATCAGCCATAACAATAAAAAGGAATTGATTTTATAACTTTCAAATCAAAATTTGATGACAAAAAATGCAGTATTCAAATTCAAATATTTGAAAATAAATTAATCATTTTAAAGGGTGCATTATTTAAAACTGCAGCCGATGTTATAAATAAATGAAAAATAAAGATATTGACAATCGTTGCATATTCGGTTCTAATTAAAAATCAATAATTTTAAAATATTGAAAAGTCTTGAATCACAAATTAGACTGTCAGTCTGTGGTAGTTTCCAATTCTTATGGATATTAAACGACCATTTGTTTTTTATTGATGAACTCGTTTCATTCGAATAAGATCAGGAAGCAAATGGATTATGGTTTTGTTAAAATTATCACATTTCGAATGTGAGTCAAATAAAATTATGTGTTTTCTCAAATCTTATAAATCAATGTCAATATATTTAGTATATTTAATTAAAGTAATTCGGGATTTTCCATTGGCAACAAAGCTTGTGGTCTTTAAAAGGTCTCTACAAATACGAATGCGTCATGGCTTTAATTTAAACTTGTTCTGATATAATATTTATTACATATCGAACGGAATCTATTTGAATTCTCTTTCAATAAACATCATCTATACTTCTTTGGCCACCACAACCCAATGTTACATTTCGTAAATTTCTTGCAGAATCGAATTCTAAGAATTAGATGTAGATGATATTGGAGTAGAATATGTCAATTACTTTTGACGTAATTATCTTTAACCTCAGGTTCTGGAAATATTCCATTGGATGTGTACATGTCTTGCCCGTTAACATTTCAACTCACGCACAAGTTCCTCACAAGAACATTTATTTCGTATCATAAACTTCCATCTGAGAAGACTTAATTATTTAAGAATTTACAGACAAGCTGTTTAAAAGAAAAAACAATGGGAGTAACTGCCGAAGTACTGTTACACTTCCCAGAAGCAATAAAATTAAGGCATGTGTAATACATTAAAATGTTAAAAACATATTTTTTTTTATTCACGTTATCAGATTAAAGATCATATTCATTTAATTGCTCATTATTTTAAATACATTTTTCTTATGTCTTAATTGTGGATATGTAAACAAGTGGCATATTTTACTATTGTCTCTATTTTTTGATACTTCGATGTAAAGATTCTAAACAAAAAAACCATCAAAAAGGCGTTAAAAGGCAGGATCGGATGTTTATAATTATCGAATTCAACTAGCAAAATGTTTTGAAAACCCTCAAAATTCCGAATTTCGAGTGATACCGTAATATAAAGAGTATATCGTAACGCAGAGACCTACGCTGGATACATGGGTCCCTGGTTCCTTCGACACTTCTTTTTTGCAAAAG